CTGTTGTCTCTCTCTCTCTCTCTCTCTCTCTCTCTCTCTCTCTCTCTCGCAGGTATCAGTTGCTCTCGCTGCCAAGCCCTGTGTCCCTCACCCAATGCCCCCCCCCCCCCTTCTCTCTCTTCAAATACTATTATTTTTCTTCAATCCCTCCTTCGCTCTACTTGATGGCTTCTCTAGCCCAATCTGTCACTAGGTATATCCTTTCAAAATTTTCTCTACCTAGAAGAGAAAACAATTAAAATGCTCGACTAAGTTAACGATAAAAATCACAAGGAATAGAAAGTAAAAACATGATTATCCCAAATGAAATAAAACAGAAATATAAAAATAACGAAATCAGGGACCTCACAGGCATAAGAAATAAATCTGAGAAAGGAAAAAGAGGAAAAACCCAAAAATATGCATTCCCACATATAGAGAGAGGGGAAAGAAAAAAAATTTAAGACCCAAGATGGAAAGGGCAATGCAATATTATAGCGTGCAAACAAAAATGAAAGCAAAGCAAACACATACTACAGACGAGAATAAATATGATGACTCTTTTACATTAGGAGTGGCCATTGGATTGGTTAGAACCACTGATCCGGCGGTCAACCTGACTCAGAGAAGGTCATGTTGGGACTAGGTCCAGGGCCGGTTTGGGTCCAAATGATGGGACCTGACTCAGAGCAGGTCATGTTGGGCGACCCAATGTGTGTGTGTATTTAAGAGAAGTATAGAAAGAGACCATTTACTTTTCGTATAGAGGTCACAATTACTCTTATCCGCCAGATTTCAGATCAAGTGGTCGTAAGAGTGCCATTGACTAGACTCCCAAGTTTAAAAAAAATTCTCAAACTACGTGACACTTCTAAAGCTATCCAGTGGCTAGGAGCAATGTTAAAAAATGCGGAATCAGCCGCCTGGGTGGCTGCCCGGAGACAGGCGACCTGCCTTTTGGGGAAATGCAGATCCTTGCGGATTTTTGCCCCCCCCCCCCCACCTCTCCCCATTTCATTGTATATAGAAATGACTTTTTTACATTTAATAAGTAAGTTTTGTATGAAAGATATTGTTCAAAACGCAGAAGTCAGAAGTACAGATCAAACATAAACATTTACGACTTTAGATTGTAAATTAAATAGTTAAAACTCAAACACAACATTAAACAAACTAAAAACAAGGGTAAAAAACAATATTCATTCGATTTGGGGCCAATGGACTTTTTTATTAAATTTCTTTTCCAAAGGCCCAAACCAATTATCAAAATCGAAAAATAATAATGCAAATAGTTAATAAGTTATCAAATATATATCATAAAATATCACAAAAAAAAAATACAAATAGCAAAAAAACAACATCATAAAACATAGTGAAAAAAACAAATACATAACCTAATAAAAACTGTTGAAATATACCAACATTCTTGAAGTGGAATTGATATCAGGCCAAAACCCAAATGTTTTGATTCCCAAGTCTCCTCTTTTACAACCACTAAAAGCATCAAAAAGATTGGGAATGAATATCCTTTAATTTCGTGACCATTCAAGGAGGTCGAAAGAAATTTCGATATCCCTACAAATCTTCAAAATCTTGTTTTTTTCTCACTCTAAACTTCACTAACAATGTTTTTGGGAGAAAAAATGGCCCCCAACCCTTTTTCCCCTTTTTTAGGGGGTAAAATGATGATTTTATCCATTACCTGAGTTTTTTTTTCTGCCATTGGGCGAGGCCGCACCTAGGCGGGCGCCTTGAAGGACCCACCTTAAGCAGGCCGCCTAGTCCCAGATGAGGCGTTTCTTAAAACCAAAAAGTTAGGTGTTTTTTCGTTTATTAGCTAAGAGTAATTGTGACCTCCTTATACCAAAGATAAATGGTCTCAAAGATATATTTTATATTATAGATACTCATAAACGATCTCATAGATATAATTTTTATTTTTGTTTTTTAGACCCGAAACCGACCCAACCTGTTGCAACCCGTATTTGACATTATAGGTACTCATTTCAAGAGAATTGGACCATCCAAAACCACCACCCAAAAAAAAATATACAAGCACATTGACGGATGGCCCCCATGATCAGATGTCCTTTTAATCTGGGCTGTTCATTTACATAAAATAAAAAATGAAATTTTGAACATAAACAAGCTCACCATCCACAAATTTATACAGTTTAACATATGCTTCTGCCTTTCTACCCCCATTAAAAGCATTGAATTGGGAGCCACATAAAATATACACAATATATATGATTTACCTACCCCTAAGGGCGTGTTTCGAAGGCACGGCTTCCATGGGTTAGCATGGAAGATGCAGCTTCCCCATTTAAGTGCAATCTATAGCTATTTTGAAAGCTGTGGGAAGCAGCAGCTTCCAAAACATCGTTACAATTCCCATTAACAAACGGGAAGTGCAACAATGACTGGAAGCCACGACTTCCACTTATCAAACACACCCCAATAGTGGTTGAATAATGGATGGAAATGGATAATTTGAGTTTTATCTCAAGGGGCATTCGTGAGCATCCATGACATGTCCATTATGCAGTTCATTACAACCATTTTGGTATCATTCCTAATCATTGGGCTCCATTTCTGTTGGAAACTTGAGAAGCAATAATGCCATCGCAAGCATCCCAACAAAGTGAGGCATCTTGTATTTAAGAAGAGATGCATGTTTTAGAGGCCCATGATCCCGACTGTTTCAGCCGAGAGAGAGAGAGAGATGTTAAGCAACCCTAGTTATAAATTAACTAAGCTTACCATTTTGTATCAGATATCAACCTCAAAATGCATAATACACTTTGTACAACAGGGTACTTTAAAATCCCAGACTTGGATGAAACACCCCTCACTGCTTAGTAGTTGTTACGTTAGATAGATAGATAGATAGATAGATAGAGAGAGAGAGAAAGAGAGAGGAAGAGATAGATTTCACTATTTGGCCAAAAATGATAACACGTAAATCAGTTAAAGATTATTATTAAGCATATTGATCATTTTCCACCTGACCACATAATTGGAACATCATACATGGGCATGTAGTAACAGCCAACCCACCTACAAGAGAGGCTATATCAGCATGATATCTTTTGTAGGTAATGACATCAGCATGACATCTCATGTGTTGTGGATGACACCATCATCATATAAAAACAAGGGAAAATTTTCGAAATGCCAATGAGAGATGCATTATTTATCATTCTGCACATTTGCAACTATTCGGACTCGTGATGCTAAATATTTTCATAAGTATTTTGAAATAAAATCAAACAATATGGGTAAATTGTTAAAAATTTTATATCTTAAGGATATTTTGATAAATTTCCCAAAAAGCAACTTATACTGAGGCATGAACATGAATTTCACACGTCCAAGCCTACTTCAGAAACCATGTAAAAGGATTGAACAAGAACAACTTTCCAATAAATGCAATTAGAAGCTTCATCACCATGGCTAAACCCGGATCCAAAAGCTAACACAAACCCCAATGAATCAACAAATCCATGTATTATCCTGATTACCAAACATTGTGTGTGCACATGAAAACTAATTCAGATATTTCTGAAAACAAGGGCCAAATTGAAAAAGTTAGGGCCAATCTACCCTTTATCATTGGCTTTCAGTGTAACACTCATGTGGAGGATCAAGTCACTAGGACACCTCCATTCATGTATGGTTTTTGTTGACTTGCTAACTCAACATAAGGTCGTACTGAAAGAAGTGGGAAAATACTAAGGTTTAATGATGTCTCAAACAAAACTTCAATAGTATTCAAATTCTACTTGTAGGTGTAACCGTGTAAGTTTGAGAGAGCAAAATGTGGTGAACTTTTAAATACCCAGATCAGTACACAAGTTTAATGGGTGAAATCAACTGGTAGAAACCGCTTAGAGCAATATTTCTGCTAATGCTTGCATTTGAATTTATTTCAAAATATTTCTCAACTTGAAGCCCAAACATTTAGCACAACTGACTCTGTTTTTGTAGTTTTTTACTGCAATCAACCCATTCAAGCACAAGAAATGTATTAAGCTTGATCTTTCACCACTTATGTTGTCACTTGACATGTATCCTCATCCCATGGCTGAAGTCCCATGGCTGAAGTCCTCAGTTTTAGTGAGCCTGAAAATTGTCTACAGTAAGGAACTCTCAACCACTTCAGTCATTGGTCAGTACTTCCAACTAATCCCCACCAAATGCAAGCCACCAACAATAGATCTACAATAAAGGATCATTTTCTACATACACCCAGCTCTATCTCAATCTATAAGAGTAAGAAAAACTTCAAATACGGAAAACTCTGCAGAAAACATTTTTCACAGATTTTAACCACCATTATCTGAGTTTTACATTCTCCCTCGTTTCTAAAAATTTTTTCAGAGAATTCAACTCTAGAGGCAAGGCCAAAGCTATGGAAGATGAATAGGAATGCTATGCACCTTAGAAGTTTCTGTAGAAAGTGCAACTCTGAAAAAACTTTCACAGGTACTCCGGACTCGCTTGTATCCTAATAGTATATTTGTCAAGGCTTGTCAGCATCTTACAAACCCCAAGTAGACAGCATTTAATACCTCAAAGATAGCAGACTAGCATGATTTTGAGTCATTAAATTTTTTTCAAAACCCCTAAATTGAAAACGAAACCAATTCCCCTTGATCGTAGATAAGTTCAACCTCCAGCTAAGGTCTCCAATCGATCGAGGAACTACTTTACATAATTTTCACTTAGTAGTCAATTGTGTAAAAAGAAAACTTCTGTTGTTTTTGGATTATTATCTTTGTTAAAAACAACTAAATCTCTAATCCCAACATATTTTGGAATTCTTTAGGAAATAGTATTGGTTCTTACATGATTTCCCTTTTTTTGGGAAAAATTTTCTTTATAAACATCATTTCCCCACCTTGAATAACAAATCTAAAATAGATTCATCATTGCAAATACTTTTTCTTACTCAGGATATCGTTCTTTTGGCTTGTTTCGTATTAGGTTCGCTTTACTTTCAAATCTTGTATGCTTGAAATAATGCAGTTATAAGGAATTGTCGTTGGAATTCCAACTGAAAAATCGAATAACTCATTAAAATTTTAATTTGCTAATCGATTAATACAAACACTCGTTTTTTTTAGCAAATATTCCTATTGAATTTCAATCTCAACCCTACCTTTCTACTCTCAATGCCCCACCACCGAATTGCCTCTGATAGATATGATCTCGATTGTGAATCCTCCCAATCCAAACCAAGCCACTTGGCCAGTATGCTTGAAATAGTACAGGACCGATCCACTTGGCCAGTACGGCTTCAAAAACACTGTAGTGAAATTACACATAGATTCTCACCTATCCAATTAACCAAGCCCTCCTCAGCTTCATTCCCTCAATCCATATTGCATAAGGAAATGTATACAATGAGACCTCTTATTTTTGGTACAAAAAAGTCTTTTGCCCCTAGCTGTTAGATGTAAAATCCAGAAAAGGGAAATCGATACAGTAACTTTAGGTACAAGGAAGTCGAGATGTAAAACTGGGCAGCTAGAGGCATGCCATTGACTTGCTAGAGTTCAGGTGGGTTGCAGGATCTACTTCATGTTCTACTTGCTGAAATTATTCGTAACTTTCATGAAAGAACATTACATGATCACCAACTTCAGGTATTTCAAACATATGGCCTACAATAGTTCTCCATAAAATTGGTTCGACATTCTTCATAGCAGCCATATGCACTGTATGAATTTACAGGCACTCCAATCTCACGCAAAAGAGTGCCTTACGTTGATCTGAATACCAAAACAACTACATTGTGTCATTTTCCAGTTTCATAAAGAGTAATCCCTATATGGAAAGAATTCTCGTTTTAGAATCAATGTCAATAAAGCTTAAGTTTAAAATCATACAGAATTTCAGCTTAATAGACCCTCTGCAAACAAATGAAGTGCCTGGTAGTTACTCATACAAAATAATGAAAACCATTTCAGTTTAAGGCCACAGAGAACCGCATGGTATGATTAAACGGCCAAAAATAAAACTAAAAATTAAGAAAACACAGCAACGAGCTTCATGAGAACTACAAAATACACATACAAAGACACTATGATATAAACAAAAGTTGAAGCTCTTACTTGTCGGATTTCTTCCAGGTTTTAAGCACCCCGGTCCTCAATTTGGGACCATTCATCATTGAGACATCCAAATCGGCCGGAACATGGAACTAACGGCGAGATCAGCGAGAAAACCGCAGGAAAACCCTAGCAAAAGCGTCTAGCCGCTTTATAAACCAGAAAGCGAGAGTGAGAGAGAGAGCTACAAACCAGAGGAACTAGACGGCGCGTATAAATTTAAAACTACGGCGCAATTGAGATTTAGGGTTTGGGACGTATTTAAAAGGGGGAATATCATGAAAGGGGTAGAAACCCCTTACGATGTTACTGGAAGGGGTTAAATTTTTTCTAGAGACATTTGAGCGTTTAATTTTATTTTTCTATTAAATCAGATATATAGAATAACTATAGATTTCTCAACAAAATAATAAAAGGAAAAAGTTTATATAAGGTTGCACCTCAAAAATCTATTGGAAAAGGATTTTTCAATGTTGAGAAACGCTTCTAATTGATCATCTCGACATCGAGATGTATGAATATGAAAAAAATAAATATTTTGAGCCCCATAAATAGTGCATCTTGCAACACATTATCTAGACCGACCATTTTCAAGATTTTTATATGTTTATAGATCTACTTAATTTTAACTATTTTTAGAGTTTAAAATTCTATAATTAGATATGAAAATAGATTTTCAAGATAATCCTAAAAATTTAACACCAAAATTACATGTTAAGATAAAATTTGGAGGTGCACCTTAATTGGATTGTTTAAGGTTGCAACCTTATAGAAACCACTCCCATAATAAAAATACCCCTAGTTATGTATTTCAAATAAAAAAAAGACTATAAAAAATTTGTAATGCAACATAATTAGAGGTATTTTTTATAATTTGATAATATAAAGTATTTAAGTGTAAAATGACAAGCAACTCTGTTTGTTCTGCATTTCTGATATTGAACAGTGTGATCCTTATTTGTAATGCCGAACAAATAAGGCTATTTTTGTCATCCGAGGTCAAATTACATAAATGCTTATAATTTGTTCCTCATTATAAATATCGAATAAGGGAAATTTAGGTTTTAAAAAAAAAAAAATATTGAGGAGGTATCTAATTAAAGTAAAAGAAAAATATACCTTCAAATGTTACCGGAGAAAATTTAATCCCTTTAAAGATATTTTAAAGGGTTTCATACCCTTTGATGATATTTTAAGATATTTACTAGTAAGATGAGTATTATATTTTGTGGCCACATGATAAAAACAAATCTAGCGTCATGATTTATTTTTATTTATTTTTATTTTTTATTTTTTATTTTTAAGACAAAAACCCAAAACTTTATTAATCACAAATAGAAAACATTAGTATTACAATGATAAAGAAAAAACGACTGAAGTGGTCAACCACCGCCTCCTCTTTAGCCAAAGAATCCACCCTATCATTTGCCTCCCTATGAACATGGATGAATACCACCACTTAGTGACGACAGATATCCAAAGCTTCCATTCAAAACCTTCTCAAACTCCATAGAAACCTACCTTTCCAAAAGAAAAGTACCAATTGATTATATTTAATGAATCGTCTTCCACCGTCCGACCAAAACTAGCACACCGAATGCTCAATAGTTTTAGTCTACGCAACAACGCTAATAATTCAGCATTATGAGCTATCGCTACACCACATGGCCCATAATATGAGAAGATCTCCGCACCCATGGAATCTTTAACTACTCATCCAAAACTAGTAGGACTTGGATTCCCAAAGAAACTTTTATCAAAGTTGAGCTTAATACATCCATTAACTAGTGGTGTCCATATACCTTTAAGTCTAAAATTCACCAAAAATTGTTGAACCAAATCACACAAATTAAGAATGAGATACATCTTAAAACACCCCATAACGTTCTTTTGTATTGGAAAACCAAAACCATTATTTGTGAATAATCTTATTTTTTATTCAGGCTAAATCTGAATTCATCTCTTTAAAAGTTCATTTGTTTCTTTCCGATCAAACCTCTCATGGCGCAACCGGAAGAATCTGCAACAAAATTAGCGTTTTTTTGGCAGTGATGGAATTACGAGCTGGTCAATAATTCAAGTGTGTACAAAGAACATCCTAGTGCTTGCAGAGCCCACATCCATAATCCATGAACAACGAAGGGATAGATGATCCCCAGTCTCATCTTCCTTACACAAAATGCAAACATTAATAATCAGATTTCCCGTTCTTCGCAAATTGTGAGAGGTTGGATCAGACATAGGTCATGAAGTGATTTGGGTGGGTCACTTTCAATTAAACAATGATTACGCTGGTAAGCATAGACTTTAAATAAATTTATCTAATATCTTTTAATCTAATTGCAAATAATATATCATTCTTTTGATCAAATTTTAAATAGCTCGTCAAATGACAAATCAAAATTTTGAAATTAGTGAAACCTAAGGGTAAGTAGTTTTAAGTTTGAGGTAAAATATTTTATATGGTCGCATAAAGCATAATGTACTTTGGGTTGAGTTTACAAATAGCTTTTAAATTTTAGAAATTTATCATACATCTAAGATTTGAACTACTCAAATTCTTACTCGTGTTTATGATCTAATGTCAAACAGCTTGTCATACTTTTGATCAAATTTTAAATAGCCCAGCAAATGACACATCACGATAGATTTTGAAACTCATCAAATCACACCTAAGATTAAACATTAAATTACGCATATAGTGGTATAGAAACATAACTTTTCAAATAAACAAATTAAGCAAATCTTTTAGTGTTTCCCATTAAATTTAGGTTATCTTATTCCACTAAGATATGCATTATCTTGATAAGCAAACATTACGTATGCACACCAAAACTCGTAGGACTCGGTTGGATCTTAGGGTAAACAAAACCATGTTTTGGATCTTAACATGGTTATGCAAATCCAGATTATGCCAAAACCCGGTTATTGATAAATGATTGTTTGGATAGCTTGTAGATAATACCGAGGTTATGCAAATCTCTCGTTTCGATAATCTATTTGAGTAACTTGGGTTTGCACTATTTAAGACACATTTGGTAGGTATGAAACATTTTCGTGCAAAATGTTTTTGTGTGTAAATTATGTTACACATATTTGGTATGCAACAATACATATAAAAATTTTTCACATTATAAAAACTTTTACCAAATTTTTATAGAGAAAAAACTATACCAAATTTTAGAGAGAGAAAGTACCTAAAAAAAATTAGAGAGAAAAACTTTTCAACATGTTTAAAAAGAAAATTGTTTAAAACTTTAAATTTGATATAGTTTCTCTTCAAATATTTTGAGATAGTTTCTCTCTCTAAAAATTTGAAATTTCATATAGTTGAAACTTTCTCTCTCTAAAAATTTTGATATAGTTTCTATCTCAAAAAAATTTCAGGTAGTTTATCTTTCTAAAATTCAACATAGTTTATCTTTCTAAAATCCAGGTAGTTTATTTCTCTAAAATTTTTGAGATGGTTTCTCTCCCTAAAATCTTTTAGACTGCTCTTTCTAAAACTTTATGCAGTTTATATCTCTAAAATTTAGATACGTTCTTTTTTTAAAACTTAAAATGTTGAGATATTTTATCTCACTGAAAATTTTCAAATATTTCTCTCGCTAAAAAATTTTAGTAGTTTCTCTCTCTGAAATTTGATATGGTTTCACTCTGTAAAATTTTACAATGCTTTCTCTCTAAAACATGAAATTTGAGATAGTTCCTCTCTCTAAAAATTCAGGTAATTTCTCTCTCTAAAATTTTATATAGTTTCTTTCTCTAAAATTTTAAGATTTATTTTCTATTTAAAATTCGAGATAATATCTCTCTCTAAAAATTTAATATACTTTATCTCTCTAAAAAAATTGAGTAGTTTCTCTCTCTAAAATTTAATATAGTTACTCTCTTTTAAATTTTGAGATACTTTCTCTATCTAAATGATACTTTCAAATTTTCTCACTCTAATAAATTTCAAGTAATTTCTCTCTCTAAAATTAGATTAGTTGCTCGCTCTCAAGTTTTAAGATACTCTCTCTCTCTCTAAAAATTCAAATTTGATATAGTTCTGCTTTCTAAAATTCTTGAAATAGTTTCTCTAAAAAATTCAAGTAGTTTTTCTCCCTAGAATTTGATATATTTTATCTCTCTAAAAATTTAAAAAATGTTATTCATCTAAAATTTATAATTTGATATAATTTCTGTCTCAAAATTTTTTTAGAAAGGCTTGGTTAGGTACCTCGATCTCGCCCTCTGGATCTAGATGACCTGGCATCACGTGTCTCGGGTTTCAAGGGAACCCGGGACATAAGATCGCTCTATCGAGAACCTTGTTAGGAAACAAGGGCAGGTATACCAACCGATGAGAGAAGAATTTAAGGTGGGTTCGGGACTTACTCGAGCTAGCTCACGTGGGCACCCTCTTAGATCACGAAAAAAGCCCCCCAGTCGTACAACTCGTTCGGAATTGCCTCCCTTGGCTTGTATTCTCCTGTTTCTACGATCACACACGTATGGTTAATTTTACAAGATAAGTGGGCCAAAGGAGAAAAGAGAAGAAATACAGGCCAAGGGAGGCAATTCAGGTTTGCACACTCAAAGGAGAAAATAGAAGAAATGATGAGATGAGGGTTGGGAGAAGGAAGAAAAGAAAAGAAAAAGACATTTGACCGGGTGGCTAACCTAGCACAGTGGCTAGATTGGTATGGTGATTGACCTGACGTGGTACCAAGAAAGGCACAGAGGCAATACTACTCAATGGCAAAACACCAACACCAACCAGCCCAGCACAATGACGAGTTCGACATGGCAGCAAGACGGGCACAGCAACTTAGATTGGTACAGCGGTAAGCTCGACAGCGAGACTACCATGACAGAGCTAAACTTGGCCTGTCCTTTGGTCAAATGAGAGAAGAAGAAGAAAGAAGAGAGAAAAGGAAAATACAGAGGAAAACCAGAGAGAGGAAGAAAGAGATAGGAGAAGAAAAAGATGAGAGATAAAAAAGAAAAAAGATGAGAAAGAATAAGAGTGAAGGAGTAAGGGAGAAGATAGAAGAAAGTGAAGAGAGATTAAAAGAGAAGACGGAAAAGAGAGAATAAGAAATGAAGAGAAAAAGATAAGAGAAGGGAGGAGAAGAATAAAAGAAAAAAAGAAGAGAAAGTAAGAAAAGAATAGAGTGGATAAGAGAATAGAAGAATAAGAGAAGAGAAGAGATGAGAAGAGGGAAGAAGAAGAAAAGAGAATAAGAGAGAGAAAAGATAGTAAAGAGGGAAGAGAGAGAAAAGAGAGAAGAAAGGGAGAAGGAAGAAAAGGAAGAAGATAGAAAAGAAGAGAGAGAAAGGTA